CCCAGGGCGCCCAGGCTGTAGCCATGACCTGCCGCGATGGCTTCCGCCAGGTATCCCTGAGCATGCACCAGGCAGGGGGCAGCACAGGGATCCTCAGCAGGCGGGTCAGAGGCGGGTACCCAATGCTCGCTGGCTTGGAGGCGCTGTTTCCACCAGGCAGGCTTTGGTCAGGCAGGCCCACCACAGGGNCCACCCACCCACCCACCCACCCACCTGCACGCTTTCGGGGCGGATGCGGCGCTGCGCCGCCACCTGCTCCACGCTCAGCCCCTGCTGCAGCGCCTGATACACAGCCAGCTTGGCGGGCTGCAGGCGCTGCGGCGCCGGGCACGCGGGCACCCAGCCGCCGGAGCCACAGCCTGCTACTGCTGCTGCTGCTGCTGCTGCTGCTGCTGCTGCTGCTGCTGCCAGAGGGTCCCCCAGCGCCGCCGCCGCGGGTCCGGCCTCGGGCCCAGCTGGGTACGGCAGGGAGGCCACCGGCAATTTGGATAGGACCTGCACCGGCGGCGGCAGCGGCATGCCGCACCCTGTATCAACCTGCCGCCAAGCTGCAAAACACACAGGAAGGGCTGACAGCCTGGCATTGCATCACATGCTGCCCAGGACATGCTGCCCAGGAGCAGCCCCAGGCCGGGGTCTTGCCCGCCAGGCCCCTCCTCACCTCATACACTCGTAGCGAGCACCAGGCATCTGTGGCAGCGTAGCGCTGCTGCTCTGAGCTCAGGGGCGGCCGCACTTCCCAGTTGCTGCACCGGATTGCCTGGCTCTTGTCCAGGCGGAGGCGGAGGAGGAGGGATACGAGGCCCGCCAGGCTCCACCTCTGCGGCGCCGCCGCCAATGGCTGACCAGCACCGCCGCCGCCGCCTCCAGGCCCACCCACCGCTGTTGCTGCTGCTGCAGCTGGTGGCGCGCTGGGAGCACAGGTTGGTGCTGCACCATCAGGCGCATCGCCGCTGTCGCTGCCTGGCGCGTGCGCAGCGGCAGCATAGGCCAGCTCGCGCTCGTTGGCACACTCTGACAGGCACACCACGCCCTGCATCTCCAGCCCGAAATCGCGCAGCACCTTCTGGGCATCCCCCTGGACCCCCACCCCCACCTTGAGAATGTCCTGCAGGTGGGTGAAAGAAAGGGAAGGGGTGCCACAAGGGGAGCTTAGCTGCCTGCACAAGTACGGCGACAGTGCCTGCCACATGCGCAGCCCCCAAGCATGCCGCCGACGCACCTTGCTGCACAGCAGCTGGCGCAGGTGCGGCGTTAGCCCGCTGTGGCAGATGTGCAGCAGGAGGCAGATGTGCTGCTGCTGCTGCTGCTGCTGCTGCTGCTGCTGCTGCTGCTGCTGGCGCTGCTGCTGGGGTCCAGCTGTGCTGCTGCCGCCACTGCCACCCAAGTAGCAGAGCTGGATCAGTGCCACCGGCCGCGGCACCACTCCCGTCTGATAGGTGACGCGCCACTCGATGTCGAAGCCCACCACTCCCACTCCGGAGCTGTCCAGAAGCCACTGGCACCAGCGGTCCACCTCGTAGCCCGCAAAGGCATAGTGCAGCGGCCCCGTGAAGCATGCCGGCGGCAGATTCTCGTCCGCTGGGGGTGCTGCCGCCGAGCCTGCCCCTGCTGCTGCGGTGCTGGTGGAGGCATGGCTCTGCCCTGTGCGGATGTCGGGCAGCCTGCGCCGTCGCACGGGTGGCGCCACAGGTGCTGCTGTCGCTGCTGGTCCTGCCTCGCCTGCACCTGCGGGCCCGCCGTTGCCGCCACCCGCCGCGCCATCTGTTTCTCTCCTGAGCTGGTACGCCTGCTCAGCGGCGGCCAGAGCAGCCTCCTGAGACTCGGATAGCACGTCGTCGGCGTCCCAGCAGTCCATCGCCGGGCCTCAACTTGTTTGTGACCTCGCGCTTGTGCTCTCCCCGACGATCCCTGGAAGTATAAAGTTGCTCTAGAGCTTAACGGAAGGCAAGCACGGGACCCAATCCCCCCAGATCAAAGCTTTTGGTGTCATGCTCTGCGCGCTGTGCATGCTCCGCCTTCTGCCGCCGCCCCCAGGTGTCAGCTTGCATGACAACCCTCATCACCCAGCAGTGGCCGTGGCCATGAAGAGCTGGAACTCCAGCATCTCCCCCTCCCCATCAAACGCCGCCTTCTGCAGGCTGCCCACCGCCCTGGCCTCGACGGCCGTGTAGCCAGCCTCTGCAGGGCCATGGCGGGTGCGAGTGGTGGCGGGTGCGTCACAAGCCCCCAGCTGACACATCCATACATCCCCCCAGCATGCATCAAATCACAGGCAGCAACCAGGCAGCCAGGCGGATCCACCCACACCCACCCGTCAGGTGCTGCTCCATTTCCTGCAGCGAGAAGCCTCCACGATGGAACAGGCCGTGAGAATGCGCCGGGCTGTGAAACCTGCGGCACGCGGCAGCCGTTTGTTGCTGCCAGGGCGGAGCAGGTGTGGACAAGGCAGGCAAGCGCCAGGTGGGCACAGTGTCGGCGAGTGGCTGTGCCATGCCCGGCACACCTGATCGAGGCGGGGGTTGCGAGCAGGTCAAATATCGCTACGCTGCCCCCCGGCTTCAAGTGGTGCTTCAGCAGCCGCAGCGTGCCTGCATGAGCAGGTGCAAAGCGGTTGGCGGCGACGAGCCTGCGGGTGGCAGGCTGCCCTCCACACACACAGCTCACAGCCTGCCCCCCCACACTCCTCAATCCACGGGCACCCACCTGCGATGTCCTGGATGTGATGGAAGGTCATGAGGGAGATGGCGAGGTCGTATTGCTCCGGTACCGCTGCACCGCCATCTGCGGGCGTGGAGCTGGTGAGAGACTCTGGTCCCGTCAGTTCCGCCAGCACGCAGCGCAGCTTGCCATCGCCGCGCGCCTCGGCCTTCCTCTGGAATGCCGCAATCATGCCCGGGCTGGTGTCCACCCCCACAAGCGCGCCCAGGCTGTCGGCAATCTTCTCTGCCAGCAGCCCGGTGCCGCACCCCAGGTCAAGGACAGCAGTGGATCCAGGGTGGAGCAGGCCGCTGCCCTTCAACGCCTGTGCGCAGACAGGGGTGGGCCAAGGGCGGCAGGAGGGCTTTCGATACTCGAACGTCGGGCGTCCCACCGCCGCCACGGCAGAGCCGCCACCGAGCGCCGGTCGTGCAGGCGAGCCGGCCCCCACCTCTGCCGCAATCGAGGTCGATTGCTGATGGCCAGGGTTCTGATCCCAAGTGGCAGCCTTGTCGTCGAAGGTGTTCTCGGCGGCCATCTTGTTGGTTCCGGTCCAATGTGGTGCTGCAGTGCCCTACAAGCCTTGAAACACACAAGTGACAGGATGCAGCCACGTAATGAAAGGCTTGTTACTTGGCAAAGTTGCCTGTGCAGGCGTGCTTTGCCCTGCTCCGCTCCCCTTGCCACGGCTGAACCGTCTGCTCGGGGTGGGCCACCCCACATCACACACGCGCTACGTTGCATGTGCTGGGAGGCCACGCACAGACGCGCATCACGCTCAAAGGCCGCAAGCACAGCTGAAGCCCCTGCACCTGCTGTGCGCTCGCAACAAAACCACAAGAGGATGATATTGTGAGTGAGCGCACGGCAATCTTCATAGGATGAGGAAGACGGCGGTGGACTACAAGCGGCTGGCCAACGCCGATTATTCCGACTTGTCGCTCGGCGTCGGTGCGGCCAGCGGCGCGCGGCCAGCTCTCTTTCTACTGCTTTATGGCATGTGCATGCATGGCACTGGAGCTGGGGCTGTGTGTCCAGGGGAATGCTGATTTGTGTGATGCCGCAAGAGCCTTTGCTGTCGCCGAAACCCGCCGCTCCCGCCTCCCGCCGACCCGCCAGACGCTCTGGGCACCGATTTCCGCGCCCTCCACTCCGAGCTGCTCAGCTATGGCGGCTATCGCACCGGCGGCGTGCGCCAGCTGCCCGCGGAGCAGCTGACGGCCGACTGGCTGCAGCAGCACGGCGCCTTCCGGCCCCTGCTGGTGCCGGCGGCGCCCGGGGCGGCCCGCCAGCTGGGCATCGCCCTGCCAGAGGGCAGCCTCACTGTGGACCGCCTGGCCAGCAAGATAGGGCTGCCGTTTGAGGTGGGGTGGGGTGCAGAGGTCTGTGGGGGAGAAGCAGGGGGGTGGGGGCTGCAGGGGGGCGGCCT